GCGAGCCATTAGATACTCCCCCCTCCCCCCCCTTCGACATTCTCAACTCACGTACCTGTTCGGCCGCTGTGAATCACAATAAGAATTTTGGGCTATCATTCCTAGGTCCCTCCCCCCCCCTCCTCTCCTCCGCTGCACGCGAAGCTCGTTGTTGTCTAATTTTGTCATTTAAAACGGTTATTTCTATTCGAAAGCATAGTTCCGAGATAAATTTGTTTTATACTTCTAATCGGACTCCAGAGGATCCACGAAAGCATCCACCTAGCCACACCTAGCTCTCTTTTGAAGCTGCCAGTGTTTCGTTTTCCGTCGGCCCTGATGCAGGTGGAATATTTTCACCCGGATTTTTTTTTTTTTTTTCCGTTGTGTGTGTTCGATTCCTCGCGATTTTCGTGTTTTAATTCTTCTGATTATTCTGTCATATGTTTTTTTCGTGTTTCTCATACAACCAGACATGTGTGCGAGAAAGTGAACTGTGCCCTTACATCGGCTAAAGATATGTTACTCACCGGTCCACAGCAGATCGACGAGTGACTGCCAAGTGGACTAAATTTTGCAATTCGGAACTGCAGTTTCGAGCACGTTTTGAAGACAACGTACGCGTACATTAGTTTCCCTGTGCACATGAGTGCTTTTTCAAATGAGCCGAATCTATGTTTCAGCGACGTTAATATGAGCTTCTCGTCGGAGACTCTACTTTGCTCGGCAATGATCTCCTTCGAACCGTATAAACTGATGGAAATCATGAAATTCGTAAAACATGCACCACTGAAACGAAAACACCGCGAATATACATACCTTTTTTATGGGAATATCGAGGAGAGCTTTTCGTGTAATTCTTGAGATATTGAGAATTCTGCTAAGACGTTCGCTACATATCTATGCGAGTTGAGGGACATTGCAACCACCCGTTCCTACCAATAGGATCGTCCTATTTTCCCACTGTCTTATTTTTCTATCGATTTGTCTATCGATTCGGATACTCATCCAGCAGTCGATTAAAACAGGACAAATGATAACGCTGCTACATTAACCGATCTTCAACAGCACATCGTAAGTCACCGTGCAACTTGCAATTCGATTATCTACTTTTCTATATTGGCGTTAAAGTCTCCAAACCTATTGGCAATTCAATGATTATTTTGCGGATAGACTGTGCTTTTTATTTACGTGATGTATCAAGAGTATAAATGATGGTTCTCTTCTTTGTCTATAGCTTTGTTTATCCATTTTAATATCAGCCCACTGTTTAAGGAACGAATGTGGATACAGCTCTGAAGAATGTTTTCTTCTGAGCTGTAGAAATCCGATTTCTGAACCTAACTTGATAATCGGTTTTCGCTTCACTGAAAAACTTCGCCTCCATAGGTTTAAGCCTTGGTGTCTAGGGCTGGGAAGAACCGAGATTTGTCGGAAATAAAAATTTTCAGGGAAAAATCAGGGAATTTTTTCCAGAAACCAAGATTCTCTGTGCCTACCGCTGAGAGACCATTGGACGTATTTCTGCCAAACGGAACTATGTGCATTAAGATGTTAGCCCTGAGACTCTTAAGGAGACGTGTATAACGGGACTCAAGCCATAATGCACATAGTTCCGCTCGCAGAAATACGTCCAGTTTTTCAACAAATTTTGCGGAAATTATTAGTACCTATTCGACGGCTAAGGAACATACCGCCTATCTGCAAACTGACGATTTTGCAGCACTGGTAAAAAAAACACATTGGATCTAGAGTCCAGACTCTTAAAAACATCGACAAGAAAAAATACTCTTGAATTCAATCAGATTCAAGCTTAAATCAAGAACCAAGCCTCTTAATTTGAGCGGATTTCCCTTTGATTTAAGCTTAAATCTGATTAAATCAAGAGTCCGTTTTCTTGTCAATGTTCTCAAGAGTCTCGACTCTAGATCCAATGTGGTTTTTTTTCCAGTGCAGCTAATTAGGTGCCTGCAGTTGCGGTTAAACCATTTCTCCACCTTGTTGCATACAGTATTCGGGCCGCTTTTTAGTGTTTTTTTCTCATTTACTGAAGACTTTACCTCCGTGGATTTAGGTCATTTTTCCGATGAATGGTTATGAATATGTTTTCAACCCATTTTTTTCGTGTCTCCGTTAACATGTTCGTTCTCTGTTGCCAGAAACGGGTGAGCACCCAGGCGGGTCGCACACGACCTCGTTCGAGTCGAATACGGAGCCCCTCCTGGAGGACCACGGGAGCGGGGGCGGCGGCGGGGGTGGGGGGACGAAGTGGGTGAGCTCCCACGGGAGCGGGACGCCGTTGGCGACGTACGAGTCCCGGCGGCAGACGTACCGCAACGTCCTCAGCTGGCGGCTTCGGCGGATGGAGGCGCGCAAGCACAACGGCCACGCCGGCCACAACGGGGTCGTCAAGCAGAGCACCATCGAGGACACCAGCTTCGACTCGATGGACACCGCGGATACGGAGTACTCGTCGGACACCAGCCGCCTCGAACAGGTTAGTCTCCTGAGGAAATCCATTCGCATCGAATGACACAGAAAAAAGTGTACAATACTATACTACCCTATATGGATTGCATTTTGCAAAAAGGAACCACTAGCATTGCAATGCTGTTGAGATTGTGCAACTTCTTTTGTCTTGGAAGAAAAACCCGATTATCCATTTTACTCGCTAAAAACTGTAAATTTAAGACAAAAATGACCATCTAAGTTTAATAGTTTTTCACGATTTCCGCAATTTTATTGCAAAAGCTGAAGTTGCACAATCTTAGCATCAATGCAATGCTGGTTGTTCCTTTTTGCAAAATGCAATCCATATAAGAGTACTATACTACCGTGCTCAGCAAGAACGCCTTAAATCCATTAAGATTTTCCCTCGTTTTTTGGAACTCAACACTTTATAAAGTAAAAACTATTGTAACCGTGAATATCGAATTTTCAGATTAAGTTCTTGATAGTATTTGTGAAAGAATTCTGTAAAAAAATTGTCCTAAGGCACACAAATTTTTCTGCTAGCATATATTGTTTCCAAAAAATTTAAAATGGCGTTTACGGCGTTTTTGCGTTGCACGGCAGTATATTCCCCCGTGTATTCCCCCGTATATTCATTCGGCGTTCTTTCTTACACTGGAAAAAAAAACACATTGGATCTAGAGTCCAGACTCTTGAAAACATTGACAAGAAAAAGGACTCTTGATTCAAGCATATTTAAGCTTAAATCAAAAGGAAATCCGCTCAAATTAAGAGGCTTGGTTCTTGATTTAGGCTTATGTTAATTCTGATTGAACCAAGAGTATTTTTTCTTGTCGATGTTTTTAAGAGTCTGGACTCCAGATCCAATGTGTTTTTTTTTCCAGTGTAAGAAAGAACGCCGAATGAACATTCGCGAGTTGGTTCCATAAAATGTTCATTTTCGAGATAAGTCAAGACAGTTGAGAAAATTGCAAAAAATTGGTTTCTGAAATAAGTCAGAATTTGCAATTCCTCTTGGTAAAATGTAATCTAACTGTCTGCATTTTCCTGCGCATTCTCAAGACCGGAAATTTTGAAAATTTTCATAGGATTTTAGGTTTTGAATAGATTTTAAAATTTTTTTGAAAATTTTAATTTTTCCCTCCATGTAGAGTCCTTATTAAACAAATCAAAAAGGAGTTTTAACTATCTTTCCCCCATAAGGCTCCAAGTAATTTTGAAACTTTAAACACTCATCTCTCGAAATAACAAAAACCGCACGCTGAGAATCCAAGTAATTTTGAAACTTTGAACACACTGAAAAGAAACTCCGGCCCTGGATGCCGTACTTACGGCTATATAGACATACCGTCCGCGTGCCGGGCTGAGAGGCCGAAAGTACCGGGCGTGCCACCCGGAGCAATCGAAGTTACGGCTCCAGCACCCGGAACTTTCGGCCTTTGAGCCCGGAACGGACGGTATGTCCATATCCTGTAACTTTTTTTTCAGTGCACGTATTTCTCGAGGTACCAAAACCTGCACTCATCCCACGTGGCCTCCAAACCCTTAAATGACGTCACTAATTCCCTTTCCATCCTCTGTTCCAGACGACGAGTTTCGAATCGACGACAGACAACACGGACAGCACATCCGAGTCGCAGGTTCACCGGCTTCAGGCGCTGCGAGCAGACTCGGGCTACCGGAGTCTGGAGAACCCCCCGCCGCCGCACCCCCTTCACCAACCACCCCCCAAGCACCGCCTCCTCACCCTCGGCGAGAGCTCCGACCTGGAGGCCCTCGTCAAACCCCACGGACACCGCATCCCCTCCGTCGGCGACAGCGTCGAGGAGACGGACGAGCCTCCCACCCCCAGCTGGAAGGAGAAACTCGCCAACGGCTTCCACTACGGACAAGTCAACGGGGTTAATGGGGTCAATCCTGTCAATGGGGTCAATGGAGTCAATGGGGTTAATGGAGTCAATGGTGTGAATGGTGTCAACGGTGTTAATGGTGTGAATGGCGTCAACGGTATAAATGGGGTCAATGGTGTCAACGGCATCAATGGAATCAATGGAACTCATTTGTCTTACAGGTAAGATTCAAACAAGAAACATTTAGGATGGTAGTCTCCATTTAGGGCTATCCCCAAATTACACAATGCATGCACACCCCCCCCCCTCTGTAATGACTTTGCCAAGTAGGTCCCTATCTTTCAACACGTAAAAACAAAATGGCATAACGCTCTTCTCGATTCCCCTCCCCCTAGAGCGTTATGTGATTTAGGGACGGCCCCTTACGGCCTTAACTTTAAGTCGGTTTCAGAGATAACCGGAGGCACCATTTACAGAGTGTCCCAGGGTTGGTTCAGGGGATTTCAGAAACCGATTTTTTCACCGTTGATACGCCTTGTTTCATAACTACAAATGTAAACGAGACCAGTTTCCTGAATCCCAAGTAGCAGAGGTTGCAACAACTTGCAACAAAATCGTTTGATTCTTGCAACTAATAGATTGATGTGCAGATTGCCTGCTCTCTCCCCCGAAGGAGCTATCATTGTTGGAACTGGTTGCAATTAAGTTGAAACATGTTTCAACCTCAAAGTATTGCTGGTTGCCTATCTTTAGATTTTAAACGACTTTGGTTCAGTAATTTTGCAATCTCAGCAGGTTGCAACTTTGTCTTCCGATCAGATCGCCGAAAAGCGGCACTTATCGACCAAAAGTTGACCGAAAGTTGCAATTTTGTTGCAACTGATACCAACATTGTTTCAACTTGTTGCAACTTTTACATTTAAAAATGCTACTTGGGATGCTATTCATACAGGGTCATTCAAAAGTTACGTACCACTGGCCGTGTGGGAGGTGGCCATTTGAAATTTTTGAGTTGCACCCCCCCCCCCTACTCCCTGAGAGGGTCAAGAACTGGAAAGTACCTGAAAAAGTTGCCCTCTCAGTATGAGGAAAAACGTCACAAACCGCAAATCGATATCTTAATTAGAACTAAAGTTATGGCCAGTGGTGCGTGACTTTTGAATAACCCTGTATATGCCTCCGCTCCCATTGATTCCCAAGAGTCTCACCCGATTGTCTTCGCCTTTGCAGGTCGAAGGAGATGATGAACCGGATGAACTCGTTCCGCCAAGCGGCCTCCCGGAGCGAGTCCCTGGAGCAGGAGACCGACGAAGGGATCATCATCAAGCCCCTGAAGCGTCTCACCCAGACGCCCCACCCGAACCCGGACGCCTCCCGGCGGCGCCGCGAGTTCCAGGTGGCGCGGACCAACTCCTCCCTGGACGACAAGTCCCAGTCGGACGCCGACTCGGTCGCCGTCGACACCCAGTCCCGGGTCCACTCCCTCGACTCCCGGGTCCAGTCGCTCGAGGAGAAGTCCGACTACTCCACGACGGAGCTCATCGTCGAGAAGAAGGTCGTCGATTACAATCGGGATAGGGACTTCTCCGTGGACGAGAAGTCGGACGCCCTCTTCCGGGAGTTCAGTCGCTGCGACCGGGAGGACAGGAAGGCCACGGCTCCTGCGGTTCCCGTTGTTGTGTATCGGAGGTTGCGCTCAGAAGCCGCCACTGGGAAAGCTGCCAGGGCTGCTAGGTAAAGGGGGGTAGCGATCGTTTTTCCGAAGAACTCCGGATGAGCATTCGAGGGTTGCCAAATTTCCTCCGATGAAATATTATTTTTGAGGAAAGTCATGAATATTTGTCCTGGAAATTTCGAATAAGTATAGTTGAAATTGCGAAAAAAATATCTGAAAAATCGAAAGAAAAATATTTATAGGTTTATCGGAAGGTAAAAAGGGTGGCGACCGTTCTTCCGTGCTAAGGAGGAAGTCTGAATGGACATTCGAGAGTTGCCAAATTTCCTCCGATGAAATATTCATTCTTGAGGAAAGCCATGAATATTTGTACTAGAGATTTCGAATAACTATGGTTGAAATTGCGAAAAAAAATGGCTGAAAAATCGGAAGAAAAATATTTATGAGTTTATCGGAAGGTGAAGAGGGTGGCGACCGTTCTCCCGTGCCGAGGAAGAACTTTGTTTTTCCTCAGCAGGGTAGCCCGCGTGAAAATCAGTCGTCGTGACTTTGACAATCTGGTATTAGTAAGCTTCGGTGCTAAGGAAGACGAACGCCGTGTGAGCCCTCGGGCGTCGCCAAATTTTTTTTTAAAGATACGATTTGTCAGGAAAATTTGTTAATATTTTAATTCCGATTTTAGATAATTTTGTTCGTAATTTGATCTGAGGTGTCTAAAAATTCCATGGAAAAACATTCATGAGTTCCTTCACTGAGTGTCTACCGTCAGTAAAAACCGGGAAATCCCGAAAAATATGAGGAAATTAAATGTCATCAGATAAAATCCGAAAATCGAAATTTCGAATTTCGATGTCATTCGAAATGAAATTCTAATAGGCACCGCCCATTCAAAATTAATATTTTCTGAAAGAAAATTTGGCAACCCCTGGATGTACATACGGTGTTTTTCCTCAGCATGGCAGCTTACATCATGCACAAATCGAAATGATGTCTGTAGACTATCATGTCATCCTGACGTAACTCGGATGTCTATCTAGCGTTACTCCGATGTCAGTTTACTACGGACTAGTTTGTCGTCACTCTGATGTCAGTCCATCGTCTCCTTGACGTCATTCTGTCGTTTCTTAAATGTGTGTGTACCAAGATGTCAGCCTGACGTCAGTCTGATCAGGGCCGGTTTTACATTTTCAGCGCCTCCTGCTGAAATTTGGTTGGCGATCTCGAGGAAAAGGAGGATATCCGATGGGTGAGATGCCATGGAAAATGTTTCAAATCCACCTTTGAAAAAAATGCGATTGCAAATATTTCCTGGAAACTCATTCTGAAAATTCTAATTTCAGCAATTAAAAACTGAATTTGGGTGATTCAGTATGAAAAAGGCATGAAAAATAAATTTTAATACTTACACAGGCTCAAACTTTTTAGAATGAAGTACCCAAAATTTTACGCTTCGAGTTATAGCCTATGTAGCCTGGCAAATCTTGGGATCCGACGTCAATGCGGTAGTGTGACTTTAGCACCAACTTAATTTGACATCAGACTGATATACGAAAAAAATCATATATTTGCGAGTCGAGCATCATACTAATATCTGTGTGACCAAAGTGAACTTTGAGAGCTCAATGGACTTCAGACTGATGTCAGACGGCTCTCTGAACCTCGTTAATACCACATTTAGTCAATGTTACGATATTGAGGGGCTATTTTTACCATGTTTTAATAAATTGATCGATTAAAATAAATCACGAGGAGACCGGGCATTTTTTATCTCGAACTTTTTATTCCATACCATACGACTTCGTTGAAATGATACTTTCAAAATTTGATATAAGCAACTATGTGTGTTCAAATTAATTTGAGATTGCATGAACTTATACCTTTTAAAGACATTTTGTATGCTAAGTTGTTGTAAGGGTTGTGATTGTGACACAAAGTTTTCGAAGGGTTGTGAAAGTGATGTGTACATCAGTGGCGAGGCGTCATAATCGACTCGATAGTTTCCCTTTCGAAGCTATGATGAAGAATCTCTTGTTATGTCGTTCGTCGCGATCGCCCGATTAATGGAGATGTTGCACGTGTGACGAATTTGCGACTTGACTGTTAATTCTTATGTTAAAGTTAGCGAGAAACACGATGGTCCCACTGGTTTTCTCTCAAATCAACTCCCAAGCTCCAAAAAAGCTGTCAAGTTGAGGCCAAAATGGAGGGGATAACCCACCCTACCCTGAGAGTTCACCTCTACATCAAGGCAAACTCCCCATGCAAAGATAGGGAGCAAATACATTGACAGGGCTGCCACTTTATTTGGGGACTCCAAAACTGAAAACACGGCAACCCTGCTAATGTATTTGTTCCCTATATTTGCATGGAGAGTTTATTTTGATGTAGATGTGGACTCTCAGGGTAGGGTGGGATATCCCCTCCATTTTTGCCTCAACTTGAGAGCTTTTTTTGTGCTTGGGAGTTGATTCCAGAGAAAACTGGTGGCACCATCGTGTTTCTCGCGAACTTTTACGTAAGAATCGACAGTCAAATCGCAAATTCCTCACACATGCAACATCTCCATTGATTTTTTCCGAAGGTTTGAATGAAAGGTTGATACATCGCAAATCAGGCCACGCCATTGGTGTACGCGAAAAGCTCCGATCCGTAACTTCTTTTCAGGAGAGCCGCAGCCTCTAGGGAAAGGATCGGTCTCAGGAATTGGAAATATATTTAAATATTAAAGAAGTCTTTTCATCATATCCAAGCGATTTCAAATAATATGTTATTTTTATTTCTTTCGTGATTATTTTATTTTTCTACTCCTGTTTCATGAATGTTATTAGAAGGTACATGCAATGCTGCGACATTGCGTCGAATCGATTTCTTGTTTCTTCTCAACTCATGATCAGTAGCCTTGTGTTAATGATACAACTAGAGAATTAGATACAATTTCCGTATTTTTGAAATCCTAAAATTCTCATCAGTAATTATAGTAGGGCTGCCTTTAAAAGGCGAAAAACTTTTCGGTCTGCGGTATTGAAATATTTAAACCCCTTTTATCGTATTTTTCAGAACTTAAAAGCCTGACTTTTGAGTGAATTTCGGAAGAGAAGCAGGTTAGAAAAAAATTGAACCCTTTAATTCTCTTTTCTTCCTTTTATAAATGAAAAACTCATATTTTTAAAGTACATCCACTAAAAATATTTGTGCAGTAATTTATCTTAAAAGACTTTTTATTTTGCCGAAAAAATATATTGAAAACAATTTAACGTATTAAAAGGTGGCTCCATCATCTGCCTTTACAAAAGGTAATTTGTTTCTTTCATTTCATATACTTTGCAAGAAGAGAGGAAATGTTCAGGCAATTAATCGTACTTGCGAGAATCTGAAGGGACAAAATTGAATAACATGTTGTCGCCATCGCTGGTTGCATGTATCTTCACATTCTGTTCATCATTGAACGTTTCATGATATATTTTGTTAATTGGTTGTCTTTTGAGTTATCTCTGATTTATATTTTATTTTTATGATTGTTCTGCATTCTAATTAACTTCGATTAGTCTTTCATGATGATTCTGTACATAGTTTTTAAGAGATCCTATTTTTACCCACGTAACCTAAATGAAAGCGTCTAGCCAAAACGCCTATTTATAGAAAAATAAACAAGAAATGTCACATAGTTTGAAGACATATCCACCAAAAGAACAAAAAGGTATGTTTAAACTGTATAAAATTCGGTGTCTCGCATAAGGGGTGGGAGAACAATTCGGTTCATGGACACGCCTCTTTGTTTAATATTGCAGTTAAAAATACTTCGGTAATCAAATCGAAGCCATCTAAATTATGCGAGTAAATACTGCCGACCTCCTAGAAAATTATGGATGATCTGTGCCTACGTGCTGTAACTCGATGCGCTGCAAGACCAAGACGACTAACTTATATAGACGATTATCGTTGATCCTTCATTTCTATTGTTATGCAATTTGCTCTAACTCAGTAGCACTAATTGCATAGCCACAAAACTGAAGGAGCGCTCGCTTCGTGATATATGATTATCTCGTATTTAGGGTGATTGAGTACATGCAAAGGCGCGCTTCATTCAATAAAATCCAGAGAAAAACAGTGAGTTCACATTTTCAGGTTCTGGGTATGTTCCCTACCTGCGTATTCAAATATGCTTGGATCGAGTTATTTTTTTCTTTGGGAAGGGGGGTATACTTTTTTGTAAAATTTATTTTCTATTTCTGATAAAGTAAAGTTTTCGTTATAAAATTTAAATTTCAATAAAGTGCAGGAAGTTCAATTGTTTATCTCCGGCCAAAGAAAATCTTCGCTGCCAAAATCATCAGCTGCATCTACTGTTCAGCAGGTAGGCAGGGTGACCAATGTCCCACTTAATAATGAAGGGAAATTATTTTACTATCATTCAAAATTTCTGTAACCAACCTATCTTTTTTTTACGCATTCGCATAGTAGATTAATTGATTTCATACAACTGAAGTCAAAATATCTTTCCAGGTTCTTAAGGCAATGTATGCATTTAAATTCGAATTCAATGTGCCAAAATTTATTTATTTTTATCCTTATAATTCAAGTTCAATTCTAAGCATACTTTGCATACTTGGATAATGTCCTGCGTTATAATTTGAAACTGCCAAATATGGTGGTTTGTTCCTTTTTTATTACTACTCTCTAATCCACTTTTTTTGGTCTGAAGTCTCCCCTATCCATGTTAGTTTTTATGGTGATATGTTTTCCTTTTAACGCACAGTCTTATTCAAAGAAAATGCATTGTTAATACAAATCATGCTCAACTCGGATAGCCATTCCGATAATACAGGAAAAACTCGATTTGAATTGAACTTTTTTTAAAACGGTTCCATTCATCTGTACAGTTTTGACCAGGATTGTACGTGTCCACGCGCCGCAAAGGAAGCGAAAACGCCTTCAACTTTTTGCGTATGCTATACGGACAACCTTCGAACACGAATAGTCGTTGCATCCAGGCGGTTTATGTAACGTCCGTTGTTGCGCACTTTGTTCGCATGATATGAATAGGATCGTCCAAAATCAGTCTAACTACACCAGACATTGCCTAATTTCTTCGTAATTTGTATTTTTTCGGGAAAAAGTAAGCTAAATTCTAACTTGATATTGTGTGATTATATTTTTCACGATCTTGGCGAAATTCATCAAAAGTTCTAATGCATTTATTTATTTTTCTTAAAAAAAAAGTGGAAAAAACGAGAGGGAATGGGCAAGGAACTTAAAATTCAGTAGGCTTTTACGAAAAGGTGGGATGTCATCTGTTCAACTGCTCTTTTTCAACAAAAAAAAAAAAAATAAAACAAAAACAAACCTGCCATTAGCAAGGCAAAGAATTGTTAAATTTTATAGGGTTATTTAACTTAAAAAATACAATGACAATTTTTTTTTTAAAATGAAAATCAAGAAATCCTTAAGGTTATCCCCCCACAATCCCACGACCTATTGTGGCCCTTCAACACTTCACCCCCACTTGAATTTGGATGGATCCAAAAGGTCTAGTCGGCCTATTTGTAATTTTGGCCTAACCGGAGTGAGATCAGTTAGGGTCTTCACGTTTTATTTCTTTTGAAGTTATACTCAGAAGTTCAGATTTTGTTTTCGCATGAATACGAAGTTTAATTGGACGTATTTCTGACAAACGGAACTATGTTTATTATGATGTGAGTCTTGTTATACATATATTCTCATGGTTTTCAAGGCTCGTGTCTTAATGGGCCTAGTTCCGTTTGGCAGAAATACGTCCTATTGATGGGCAACTAGGATACGCTAGTCTCTGCCGACCTACCCCTATTTTTCAAAGATTTGGCTCTAATGATTTCTCATGGTGCATTCTAGTTTTTATACACGTTTCGCTAATTTTAAATGGTTGTATATATTCGTGGCAAGTTGTATTTTGCTGCAAACTTATAGATGTCCTGATATAAATTATGTCTAGTGTCAGAAAAGAACATTGGTTTTATATCAAAGACTCACACTTTTCTGCCACAGGAAATTAAGAAAAACTCATAATTGTAACAGTCCCCTCACAAGGTAAATAATTTTACCCCTCAGAACTTAGCATCTTATAATAAGTATTCGATTTTTCTGAGCTATCAGGAAGTAACGGGGCAAAAATAAACATTACCTGAGAACAAAAGTAGAACAGCCGCCGGTTTCTAACCGGTATCTTATTCAACAAGAAACCTTTTCCTATAATT